AGGTCTTCCCTAGCCATCCCACCTACCAGCTCACACCACCAATTCCGTCCATCCTCTAATGCTAATTTATTTTCTTCCTTGGTACTTTTCACTTTCCTCCTCACATTTTTGGTCCATAAAATGCAAGTTCTATTTATAAATACTCATTCACTCATGTTTATTGAGCATCTAACATGCCTGACACCATTCTAGGTACTTGTGATTTGGCAGTGAACAAAAAAATGTTCCCTGTCTTCACGGAGTTTACATTCTAGTTATGGAATAGAGAGTTTTTTTTACAAGAAATCTACAAATGAAGAAGTACATGTAAAAATGGAGAAATGATTTAGAGGAAAAATATTAGGGCAGATTAAAGAGGATTAGGAGTGTCAGGTTGTAGGGGTAAGAGTAGATTGCAACATTAAATAGAATCGGGGTAAACCACAGAGAGAAGGTGAAGATTCAGCAAAGAAGTGAAGGGGGTAAGGGTAATAGACATGCAGGTATCTGATGGAAGAACACTCCAGGCAAGGGGAATCACTAACAAAGACCAAAAGTGGAAGCAGGTGTGGCATATTCCAAAAACTCAAGGCCATTGTGGTTGAATAAGTGAGAGGAGAGTAGAACACAGAAGGCCCTGGAGTCAGTGAGGGCCAAGTTGACAGAGAAGCTGGGAGCCACTGAAGGAGCAGAAGCATGAGACAATTTGACTGATACTTTAAGGCAGTAGTCCCCAACTATTTTGGCACCTGGAACCAGTTTCATAGAAGAACATTTTTCTGTGTTGGAGGAATGGTTTCGGGTTGATTCGAGTAAGTCACATTTATTGTGCAGTTTATTTCTATAATTATTACCTTGTAATATATAATCAAGTAATTATATGCTGTCATTTAGAATTAATGGGAGCCCTGAGATTGTTTTCCTGCAACTAGATGGTCCCATGTAGGGGTGATGGGAGACAGTGATAGATCAGGCATTCGATTCTCATAAGAAGCATGCAACCTAGATCGCTTGCAGGTGCAGTTCACAATAGGGTTTGCTCTCCTACAAGAATCAAATGCCACCACTGATCTGACAGGGAGCAGAGCTCAGGCAGTTATGCAAGCAATGCTGAGTGGCTGTAAATACAGATGAAGCATTGCTCACTTGCCCACCATTCACTTCCTGCTGTGCAGCCTGGTTCCTAACAGGCCACGAACTGCTACCATTTCATGGCCCAGGGACTGGGGACTCCTGCTTTAAGGGATAACTCTGCCTCTGGGTTGAAAACATGCTATAAAAAAGAAAGGGAATAATAAGACCCTACATACCAGAATACCACTATATACTGAGCCTTTGGGATACACTGTTTGTTGAATTAATTAATATATGAATGAATGAACTACAGACTCTGAAGAATAAGAGAAGAGAGATCCTCCCAAGTATGAACTAAAAAGTAATATGTCTTCTCATCTTTATGAATCAGACACAGTATATTAACATGACACTTTTTAATTATGTGTGTGGTTCTATGCCTATACACACATATGTAAATATTTGCTGCTTGTTCTCTGTGTATAAAGCACTTTGAATTTTCACAAATACCTTCACCTATTTTAGGCTATATGTGTAAATATCCAAATAGTGTCACATTCATTAATGCCAAGCTACTGCTATATTGGGCTACTTCCATTTCTGAAAAATAGCACATTCTAATACTGCTTGGTTGAGGCAAATTTTTTAAATTCTGAACGTTATGAAATAAGTCTCATCTTGCAAAATAAAGGTCATGGTTTCAATTCCCATTTTGTTATACTAGTTTGAAAAGCAAAAAGTTCCCACAGCCGCAGATTCTGTTTCAACCTGACAAACTTATTTCTGAAGACTTTGGGCACAAGAAAGGGCTCAGAGAGTAAATCTGGAAAGCCCTGTACAAACCGTCTGGGATAAGAAGAAAGCACAGATGGCATATTGGCAGTAGATTCATCTATGAAAGGCAGCAGACGTTTAAATGTACTATTTTTAAATATGCCAATATCGTTTCAGGATTATCGATTTCAAGGTTGAGTAAGCGTAAGGTGTGCAGAAATTATCTTGCTCATCTCATTAGTCACAAATATTTATCAAGCATGTACTATCTGTCTGCCCTGGCCATACAGAGCTGAGTGGGACAGTGTCCGTGCCTGTGCGGTTCATTGCCTGCATTCTCACATTCTCAGTTTTGATAATGTCACCCCAGGGAAAGAAAATTCATCCTTGGGTGAGACACAAAAAGACTTACTCTTTTAGATGTATAACACAGAGATAAATATATAGTACATAAACAGACACACAGTATATCTGTGATAATAAAACTTCACGGGGGGGGGGTGATTAGAAAAAATATTTTAAAAAATAGACTTCCCAAAAAGCCATTACAACAGCAAGGGAAGGAAACAAGCAAGTGATTGTCATGAAATGTGGTAACTACAGTGAAAAGGCAAGTACAAAGTGCTTTAGCTGCATATAGCAGCAACACTTAACCCGGTACAAAGGAGGAGTAAGGGAAGGCTTCCTAGGAGAGCTTGCGCTTAAGCACCGATGTGAACGAGGTTCAGGAAGAATTGCTCAGGCTGGTAGGTAGGGAGTGGTGTAGCAGAATCAAAGCAGAGAAGAAGCTGATGCAAACGTACTGGACAATTGTAAACACAGGCTTTTACTGAGAAAAATCTACGGAAACCCCTAAATTATCTGTCTTAGCTAATTAGCTAATTTGTCTTGACTAATTTGGCTAATTTTATAAAGTCAGGCCAACAGAGAAAACATTAATAAATGAAAGCTGAATTCCTATCACAGTTTTGGACTTCATGTCTGTCCTCTCTTACATAAGGATCTTTCTTTCCATGGTCTGCCATCATCCCAGTAAGGCCCTTACTATCTCTTGCCAGAGAATTCCACCGTTCCTGGCTTGTCTCCCTTTCAGCCTCTCATACCAGCAGAGCAACATGGGGCTTTCTGGAAGTAATGTGCCAACTGAGCTTCCTGGAGAGCTGCCCTTACACCTCTCCGCTCCATCCGCATCGATGCCTTAGCCTGCCAGTTAAGAGTTTGCAGGATCAGACTCTCAACTACAAAACAGAGAATTTGAGTATTCCTTCAAGTCAATAGTTCTTAAACTTTTAAAGAAAGCTATAGACCTCCCCTTATTCACCGAGTCACAGATAATGAGGGTGCCTTCTATGTGCCAGGCACTATTCTATCACAGAAGAAGGAACCTGGACATAATAGACAGAATCCTTCATTCATGGAGTTTGCTTTTTAAAGAAGCAAAGGAAAATAGAAAATACATGAACAAATAAATGAATCTAAACATATCAGTGATGAGTATTAGGAAGTACATAGAAAAAGGGTAGCAAGTTAAAAAGTGACTTCAGATTAGGAGATAAGGGAACAAGAATAACAAGTGACATCTGAGATTAGGCTTGAATGAGGAAGCAGCAGCTATGAGACTATCTCAGGGAAAAGTGCCCCATGCATGGATAACAGCCATATGGTGCAGAGTCTTATGGTGGAAATGAAAATGCCCAGAAGCAAATCTGATAGTGGATGTACACCAGTTTGGCTATACTGTCATCAAAGTGTCATTTTTAGTATCAATGGCTTAATAAATTCCTCTACTTACGCATGCCGCCCAGGGACCCTGGGATCTCCCCAAAAACCAGCAAATAAAGTTAGTGTCATCAAGAACCTCTTCCTCTCCACTGTAGGCTGCTTTCAATTTGACCGGTTGGTGTCAGGTCATATCATTTGTTAAATATTTCTAATATTATCTTTATACAAAAGCATAGTATAGATGTCACACACTGTCAAAGGTGAACCTAGATGCCCTAAAATCCACCTTGTATCTTTGACTAACAATCCTAGCATTACGTGCTAAGTGACAGCATAATAGCTGTTCAACACACAGAAAGCAGGTTTCCTGGGTCTGAATTTTAGCTCTCTGCCATTTACTTGGCTATGAGAACCTGGGCAAGTTGCCTAAAATTTCTGTACCTCAGTTTCCCCTAAAAATAAGAGCAATTATGTATTGTAGGATTTTTTGAGGACTTAATGATACAATGCATGTAAAGTGTTTGAAAGGTCTTTGGCATATTAGTCATTATTACAATGGTTATTACACAAACTGTGAATTCCTGCTAAGCTATGCCTACCACCCCAGTCAAATGTATTCTATTTTCTCCCTCTAACTTGCCTTTTTTCTACTTTTCCACTGACTGAATCCAGCAACTTACAAAGCTCAGATAAAATGCCACAAACATTTTGTAGAAAAGCCATTTCCCTTCTCTGAACAGCTATTAGTATCATCTAGTACCAACTATTAGTACCACTGTTCATATAATCTAAATGTAACTCCAATTAGTTACTATCTTGCAACGTAATTTTGTGTATATGTTTTGTGTACTTATCCACTGGATTATAAATTCATTTAGAGAAGCACTATGTCCTAGTGCTTCTATGTAATTGTAATACATAGAAATAAAATGTATTTATTTGTGTTTGACATGTTCAAAGAAATAATACTACTTTCTGACATGAGTAAGAATTTCAGGCACGCATAACTCATGAGACAAACATGCAGAATCTCGTAAGTTTCAATGTAAATATTTTGAGGTCATTTTTTTCCTCACCATGACTTTGCCTTAAAATGATGTGCTCTGAAATGTATTCTTTTCATAAATAATTTCCCAGTGACTCAGATGCTGTTACAGAAAATGAATGACACTATTTTCATAGTTAGCAACAATATGCTGTGAGGACCAGACCAATCTGAAGTATTCTTGTTAGACAGGCAGATATGAGAAAAGAAGAAATCCTAACGTGTATTCTAATACTCTAGAATTGGACCTAAAAATCTAAAATGGGACCTGCCTACTCCTTCTTTATTAACTCTACTCTTACCTTTTCTTTCAACTGTATGTGTCTCTATGCCTGCAGAGCTGATTGTGTTACAGAATTATAAATAATTAACAAAATATAGTAATTAGAAAAGTAAAATAACTCACCTTTGGCAATCTCAATGGTAATTTGCAAATTGGCAACTGAGAAAGATTTTCATTAATTACGAGAGATTGATTCAAGTTGGGAACTATCTTTCCTTTAGGTACTTTATAAACGACAACGGTGCCTTTATAATGAGGGCAGCTGTAGTTTCCAAATTCATCCACTTCTTTGATTTGCAGTTCCAGCCTAGATTTTCTTTGCAAGTGAAAAATAAGTGTGTAGTCTTTTCCATAATCCTTCCCATTGCCTAGACAGGAGTAAAATGGATTTATTATCATTAAGATGTGTCACTTTGTCTTACTTAATTTTTAAAAATCAAAATAATTATTTTATTTTAAAAACACGATTAAAGCTTTTTTGTATCATTATCTTTTGCCATAATATAACCTGACAAAGGAGCGATAGGCAGAGACCATGCAGATTACTCAAAAGATTTCTCAACGGTTGTTGGGCCAGGTGCTCTCTGGCTGCTTCTAAATCAAATATCTTTAGCTTTTCTTTCTCTATTCCATTTTTTGTACAACCAGAAACTACTAGAAATATTCAGTTTTTGCAACATTTCACCCTTTGAAAATTATCTTTCTCCTTTCCCCTAACTATTCCTATTGTGACCTCACAATAGACATTCTAGAGTTGCACTCTCCTATAACATGCGGCTATTTAAGTTTAAATGAAAATTAATAAACAGTAAATAAAATTAAATTTAACTCCTCAGTCAGTCTAAACACATTTAAAAATCTCAATGACTGAGTAGGTATGATGGGTACCATAATGAACAACACAGATATAAAACAATTCCACAATTGTGGAAATGGACTGTGTTGTTCTAGAACTTTCAGATGTCATAGTTACTAATTTTGTTCGTGAATAGTTATTGAATAGTTATTAAAATTTCTATGAAAACCTGACAGGTTCTCCTAAAATGATAATACATAAAAGTTTTATCAACTACTTACTAAAAATTCTAGAGCTTTTGTGAATATAACCTTTCATTCCTTGGGGTTTTACCATGACAATCAGGATATTTTACCTTGTTATTTCAACAGTGGAATAAACACTACCATGTTTCCTAAGGAAATAAATGTCTGCATAACCATTTGTAAAATTTGTAGAAACCTATAATGTAGCACTTAATATGTCTTGGAGGTATAGATCTAGGTTCAAGTCCAGTCTCTACGATTTGTGTATTCGGCAATATTTGTCCATATTTTCATATCTCTGAGCTTCTTAGAGCCTTAGCTTCTTTATCCTTAAAAAAGCAGAAATAAAACTTACCTCCAGGGATTGTTTTGGAAGTGAAATGGGAAAATATGGATAAAATGGTTGTCATAGGACCTGGCACACAATAAGTGCTCAATAAATGACAGCAATGCTAGCAAATGATAAGAGGCAGAATTCTTCTACTGTTTTGAATTTGCATGCAAAACAAACAAACAAACAAAAACCCTCAGACTGTTTAAAGAAATGTCAAGATAAAATGTTTTGGGTTTTCTTTTTTTTTTTTTTTTTGAGACTGAATCTCACTCTGTCACCTGGGCTGGAGTGAGTGCAAGTGGCATGAACTCAAGTCACTAAAACCTCCACCTCCCAAGCTCAAGACATCTTCCCACCTCAGCCTTCTAAGCAGCTGGGACTACACATGTGTGCCACCATGCCTAGCTAATTTTGTTTTGTTGTTGTTTTTTATTATAGAGATGGGGTTTCACCATGTTGCCCAGGCTGGTCTCAAACTCCAGAGGACAAGCAATCCTCTCTCCTTGGCCTCCTAAAGTGCTGGGATTACAGGCATGAGCCAATGCGCCTGGCCAAGATGAAGCTTTTATGTCGACATGGAAAATTCCTTCTCCTACTGTAGGACAGCATACAGTTCTCCCAGAGTTCTCCCTTATGGAAAACTTTTCATTTTGCCTAGCGAACAAAGGCTTCATTAAGAGATATAGATGACATCACCACCCTTCTGTCTGTCTTGACTGCTTGAGGTAACTTTGGTGATTTTTCTAAACTTAAGTTAAATCTAGAAATAGAATAGCTCCAGATTACAGAATGTGTAGGAGTAGATCCCTTTGCAAAAGATTTTATTTGAGAGGCAACCTGGCTACTTGAAAAACAATAATAACAGCAACAAAAAGAACAAATCCCTAGGAGAGGAATTAGCCAGAGTTTCCCTTCTTAAGAGAATCTCACTTTGGTTAAAAAAAAAAATGTAGATTATTTGGGGTCATTTAAATGTTCTCTAAATAGTAAATTAGGTAAATTGGAGTTTCCAGCTCACTGGAGTAACACCTAGCTAACTTCTGTTTGCATACTACTAGAGAGCTATCAAGAAAAATTTTACTACTTTGGTTCCTGTGGAATGCCAATTAGTAAATTTCTCCTTCTATCCCTTGAAGGATCTTATACTTCTTGCCAAGTGTACAATTATTCATAAAAAATGATTTATGCACAGGATATAAAGATTGTGGGTGACATATGGCCACATTAGTTCAATTCAGACCTAAAACGTATAGCAATTTTTAAAAATAAAGATCTCTAGGGCAACTCTCCAAAGATCACATATGAAGTAGGGATGAAATTATTGACAATTTACTTGCAATAATTAGCATAATCTTTGTGTTATAAACAAAAAACATTATGTACTTTTTTAAAGTTGGAGTTTCATTGTTGTTAAGGCACAATAATATATTTTAAAGACCCCTGGTCCCTGAACAAAAAAATAAATAAATAAATAAGAAGTAGCCTGAAGAAATTGCATTATATTTTTTTTTCTCCCTCACTGGCATATTTAAAGGAGAAATAAAAGCAAAACTCATTCATTCCATACCCAAAGTATAAAATCAACCATTAGCTTTTTTTGAAAACATATTACATATATAGGCCCCTAGAATTGTCTTGAGATAGTAGCTATCTAGTAAATACTTTTCATATAAAAAATTTCAGAATTTGCTTATATTATATGGATTACTAGATGTCACTTATAGCAATATATTTCTTCTCAATATTAGGCATTTAATATTTTACATTGATTACATAGAAAATACAAATGTAAGAATAAATATTTTGGCTTAGAAAAATCAGATAGGCCAGGCGTAGTGGCTCACGCCTGTAATCCCAGCACTTTGGGAGACCAAGGCAGGTGGATCACTTGAGGTCAGTAGTTCAAGACCAGCTGGCCAACATGGTGAAACCCCATCTCTAGTAAAAAAAAATACAAAAATTACCCAGGCATGGTGGTAGGCACCTGTAATCTCAGCTACTCAGGAACCTGAGGAAGGAGAATCACTTGAACCTGGGAGGTAGAGGTTGCAGTAAGTTGAGATTGTGCCACTGCACTCCAGCCTGGATGACAGAGTGAGACTCTGTCTCAAAAAAAAAAAAAAAAAAGGAAAGAAAAAAGAAAGAAAAGAAAACTCAGATAAAAAAAAGAAAGAGCTAGCAGTCCGGGAAACCAGAAAAACCCTATGAGAACCCCTGGCTCAGTGTATTTCTACATTCTAACCCACTCCCCACCAGCTCTACCTCTAAGCCATGCCATCTTTTGCCTGCTTTACTGCAATTAAACAATAACGGGTCTCCCTGTTTCTCCTCTTGCTCTAAAGTCTATTCTCAACACAGTTATAATCTAACTCAGATCACTTCTCTGTTGAGAACCCTTCATGTTTCCTGAAGTCACTCAGCATGAAATGCAGTCTTTCCAATGCCTGCAAGGCATGACCAGTTCTCACCTCATCTCCCACAACCTTTCCTCTCTCCCTCTGATCCAGCCATCTCAGGCTCCTGATGTTCCTCACACACACAAGGCAAGATTTCGCCTGAGTTCATTGGCACTGGCAATCCCTCTGCCTGGGACAAACTCCCCTGAGGTAGGATTATGGCTTGCTTCCTCACCAGCTTAGAGACTTTTTTTAAGTGTCAGTTTTCCAGAAAGATCTTCCCTGAAATAAAACCACAAGCCCGCTACACCCCTAAGATCCCCCTATCTTTTCCCTGCTTTATTCTATAACTCACTTTTCGGCCCAAATGAAGCTATGCATTTTAGTTACTTATTTGCTTATTCTCTGTCTTTCTTCATTAGACTTTAATATACATAAGGTCAACAAATTTTTGTTGAGCGAATTAAAGAATGGTTATTATATAGTTGTAGAGATACATCCTATAGAATATCTAGAAAAATCGCTTCCCTAGGCCAAAGGGTATTCAGGGCAACTTTAAAAGACAGACCTCACAGGGCATTACTAGGTGTTATGGATGATGCTAAGGTGTCATTACATAAAATCATATTAAAACACTTTCTGGAAGTTATGTGCAGTGGGGGCTTGGATATCATGCAAAAATCCAAGTGCTAAACTGACAACACAACTCTAACCTAGATAATGAAAGCTTGCTGTAGCTTGTTTCCAGAAGAATACCAAAACCATTTTAAAAACCAAAGGACACAGCCAGACGTGGTGGCTCACGCCTATAATCCCAGCACTTTGGGAGGCCGAGGCAGGTGGATCACGAGGTCGAGAGATCGAGACCATCCTGGTCAACATGATGAAACCCCATCTCTACTAAAAATACAAAAATTAGCTGGGCATGGTGGTGCGTGCCTGTAGTCCCAGCTACTCAGGAGGCTGAGGCAGGAGAATGGCTTGAACCCGGGAGGCGGAGGTCGCGGTGAGCCGAGATCATGCCATTGCACTCTAGCCTGGGTAACAAGAGCGAAACTCCATCTCTCTCTCTCTCTCTCTCTCTCTCTCTCTCTCACACACACACACACACACACACACACACACAAAACAAAGGATGTGCCTATCCATCTTTCTTCCTATTAGAAACAGAAATACAGTCCATGTCCCGTGACCTTCACTGAAAAGGTAAATTTATATATGTGTGTGTGTGTGTGTGTGTGTGTGTGTGTGTGTACATATATATTCTATGTAAGTGAATAGAGAGATATTGGCATTTCTCAAAGGGCCGTAATCTAAATTTATTAAAGTTTTAAATACTTTTCATTGTACTTAATACCATAATGTACTTTTCTAAACTCTAGTCTTCATTTCTTTCAATGAATACTGAGTTTCTTCTAACTGTCAGGCTCTGTCCTAGGTGCTGGGGACTGAATGCTGCCCGCCAACAGGACAGTGCCTCCACGGATGGGACTGTGGTCGGAGAAACTGGCATTGATCAAACGATTAGACGAACGAATAGAAAATTGCATGTGACAAAGGCCCCAAAGAGAAAAAGGAAGATCTGCAAAAGCATAATAAAGCTATTAAAAAATAAAATCAGATCTCATAATCTGGAAGGATAGCTTCTTGGAACATGATCACAGAGGTGAGATCTGAAGATACAGCAGGAGAGAAGTGGGCATGAGGGTGGGGGTGGGGAGGGCAAGGACAACCCTCCAGTCAAAGTCTCTAGCTTTATCTTTTTGATATTCACGGAGACAACCCTAGGCCCTGATCAAAGAATGGATCAATTCTTTTATCAGGATGAGGTACCAATTCTTTACTGAGGATCTTGTTCCTCTTGGGCAGAGAAAAACCCAGTCAGGCTCCAGATCTCAGCCTTTCTCCTTAGGAAAAGCAAAGCAAGATCTGGGCATCCTGCCTGACTCATTTTCCTTAAATGAAGACGAATACTTCACCATCCCTTATAGGGAGGAATCGCACAGGTGCCAGCTGCCTTGGCTGCTCTTGGTTTAGCACGTGCTCCCCAGTCTCCGCTGCAGGCAGTGGGATACTCAGTACCATTGCTTGTGAGTAGAACAGTAATGCACTCCTGTTTAGGGTGGTTGGTAAATACAGCTGCTGTCCACAGTAGTACAGGAAAATCAATTGCATCATTGGTTTGGGTGGGACACTTCTGGTTGTTGACTATGTCTCATTAGAGAGATTTCTCCAGCGTGAACAGTGTGGTTTCTGCTCCGGAAGCCAAGTAGGAAGGGGCCTCTTTCCTCCTTCCTTCCTCTCCTTCCTCTCTCTTCCCTGCCCACTTCTCTGCCATCCTTGTCATTTGCTCACTAAGTCCTGTCATCTGGCTCTGATGCCAAGATCCTGTATGTGAGAGTAGAATAGACACTTAAAATCGGGACACTTTAGGTCTCACTTATTCCTGAGATATCGAAAAAGCGGGGAGGGCAGCATCAGCTTCACACCTTGTCCCTTTTTTGAAGTAAAAAAAGAACCAATGAGGCTTTGAGCTATTTCCTGATTCAGAGAGAAAATCGACATAAGAAAATTAAACGGGATCTATATTAATTTATAAATAAACGGAGCACATCTCCTCAAGTCAAGTGTGAAGAAAACCTCCTGGGACAGAAATCTTCAAAAAAACTGTCCTTAATTTTCCCTCTCACCTCACTTTCACAAACACACCTGTTAGATTCTATTCCACCACAGGGCAAGAAGTTAGAAAGAGGAAGGTATTGACTTAGTGAAAAAAAAATTGTTGTGATGACAACCCTTTCAAAGAACTTTTGCTCTCTATTCCCACACAGAGGTTTTCCCTTCATGTTCTTTTTCTTCCTCTTCTCTTCACCTCGTTCCTTTGATCTCTTTAGTCTCATCAATTCCTTCACTTCTCTAATGTCCCCTGCCACCTCTCGTATTCATCATTCTGCTTGCTTTATTCGTCACTGCCATATATGCATTTATCAAACGCATTTGCATGTTCATTGCAGCACTATTTACAATAGTAAAGTCATGGAATCAACCTAGGTGCCCATCAACAGTAGACTGGATAAAGAAAATATGGTACCTATACACCGTGGAATACCACGCAGCCCAAAAAAAGAACAGAACCATGTCCTTTGCAACAAAATTGTGCAAGTGGAAGCCATTATTCTAAGCAAATTAATGGAGAAACAGAAAACCTAATACTGCACGTTCTTATAAGTGGGAGCTAAACCTTAGATGCACATAGATATAAAGATGGAAACAATAGACACTAGCGACTACAAGGGCTGAAAAACTCATTGTTGAACTCACTCTCTAGACATAAGTCTGTCAAACGTTGTACAAAAGAAAATGAAGATGATAGTTTATTTATCAGTTGATGGTATTTCTTCAGTGTATTTGATTAAAGTGTACATTAACTGCCAATACATTACTTGTATCAATGTTTATGTGGGTTGATATCAAAAATGAAGCATTTTGTAAAGAAAAAAAGAGAAGCTTTGGATATACCAGGTTCTGTGTTAGGCTCGGAGGATATATTAACAAGAAAGACATGGTCCTTGCCCTCATGGAGTTTTCATTCCAGTGAAAGGTAAAGGACACAGCATAACTATACGAACAAAAAGCAAATAAAGTAATTAAATACTTCCTAATTGTGATAAGATTTAGAGTGAAAACAAAAATAGCAGTAGATAAATATGGGAAAAGAAGTAGGCAAGGTATGCCATTTAGATATTTAGATCAATTTTTTTTTCTTTTTTTTTTTTTTTTTTTTTTGAGATGGAGTCTTGCTCTGTCACCCAGGCTGGAATGCAGTGTGCAATCTCAGCTCACTGCAACCTCCGCCTCCTGAGCTCAAGTGATTCTCCTGCCTCAGCCTCCCAGTAGCTGGGATTACAGGCACCCACCACCACACCCAGCTAATATATTTTTTTTAATTTTTAGTAGAGACAGGATTTCACCATGTTGGTGGCTGGTCTCGAACTCCTGACCTTGGCCTCCAAAAGTGCTGGCATTACAGGTGTGAGCACTGCACCTGGCCTTGATCAATTATTCTTAATTTATTTAATTTATTTGCCATAGGGTCCTTTCGAATTTGGTGAAAACTGTCCATTGATTCTCAGAGTAGTCTTTGAAAAATATAAAATAAAATACATGGGATTACAAATATGGCAATTACATTGAAATGTAGATCTACTCACCCATCCTTTGGGAGTCCACTGACCCCAGGTTAGATTCTTTGTAGAACACCTTAAAGAGTTTGGATGTATTATTTTAGAAAGAATGGGAGGTAAAAATACAATTGTAATCACTGGTATTATACAGTATGTTTTATGTTTTTAAATGATCACTCTTATTAACACATGGTAATTGGTTTCATGTGGCCAATAATGGAAGCACTTAGAAGGCAATTTTATTGTTGTAGGAAAGAGATGTTCCTAGCTTGGACTCACATAGTAACTATGGAGAAGGCTATTTCTAAAAAGTGTCACTTAGAATCTTCCCGTAACGGAACATGCATTCCCTAAGTAGAGAATAAAGAAATGGGAACGGAAGAAGTATAATAAATAAGTCTATTTTTCTTCCTACTTCCTGAAGTCCCTTGTCAATCCTCTGAAGGTTTCCTTAGTAACACAAGTTTAGCAAACTCTTCTGAAGAGCTTGTGGTTTATAGCCCATAAAATATATTTTAAAATGTCTTTATACTTACTTGAAGCAAATATGTTTCCAGTAAATCTTAAAAGAAGTTGTTCTCCTTCTCCAACTTGGAAATGGTGAGATGGCTCTGGAGGTCCCCCAAACCCTTCCAAGCGCAGGTTCTTAAGCACCTGGCTTAAATCTTTAGAAGGCACCACTAAAACAGCTATTCTATGTGGATTGTCCTTCTGGTGAGACAGTACTATGCAGGCAGTGGTGCTGAGCATGGCTTCCTCTAAAGATTTCACAAAAGTAACCAAATGACTATTGTCCATGGTGGAAGAGAGGTGAAGTACAATAAACCTGCATGGAAGAAAGAGGTGAGACCCATGGGAAAAATGCAATGTCAAGAACATCACTGATATACAATAACACCCAAGAAAAGAGTCATTATCAAACAGATGTCTTTTAAAATCAAGTATTCTCAAGGCCAACAGGTTAGATTCGTTAATGATTGTAAAGAAACTCTTAGCCATCAAGAAACCGGCTCAGGCTGGACACAATGGCTCATGCCTGGCACAATGGCTCACGCCTATCCTAGCACTTTGGGAGGTTGTGGAAGGTGGATCACTGGAGCCTAGAAGTTCAACACCAGCCTGGGCAACATGGCAAAACTCAATCTCTATTAAAACAAGAAATAAATAAAAAAGAAACCAGCTCAAATCAAACTAAATTCTAAAACATATTCTTAAACAAATAAATCATACAGTCTCAGCTCAGCTCTAAACATGGCAGCATATTTTAAGTTATATTTTAATTAGAATTACAAAAGAGCATATTTAAAATATAGAAGAGAAAGATGAGTACAATAATTTACTGACTCTCCATAGGATGCAGAATATATACCATAATTAAATGGGAATTGAAATATGCATCTGTGTCTGTAGGAGGTAAGGATCAGGATGGCTAAGATGGACCTCGGTAGGGATTGCATTATTTTTCATCCTCCCCACTCACAGACACATTCATATGTTGAAGTACTATCCCCTAGTACCTCAAAATTTGACCTTATTTGGAGATATGGACTTTACAGAGGTAATCAGGTTAAGGTGAGGTCATTAGGGTCATCCCTAATCCAGTATGACTGCTGTCATAAAAAAGGGAAATTTCAACGCATAGGAATGCGTAGGGAGAAAACACCCTGAGACCAGGAAAATGGTCTCTACAAAAAGAAAGGCCTGGGCAGATCCTTACCTCACAGCTCTCAGAAAGAACAAACCCTGCTAGTACCCTGATTTTGTCCTTCTGGCCTCCAGAACTGTGAAACAATAAATTTCTGTTGTTTGAGCCACCCAGTGTGTGACACTTTGTTACGGCAGCCTAAACAAACTAATACAGAACACTTTCCCTGGACTCGGCTGCCCATTCTCAAATTCATCTCCAGTGATTTGGCCTAGAAGAGACCTTCACCCAGAGCAGCCCCACACCCATAGACAAGCACGGAACGATGTGGGGATGTAAAGCCAGCTGCCTTGGTACTCGCACTGCAGAGCTCCCCCGAGGTGTCAGGCTACAGAAATACTTCACCTGAAACCATCGTATTTTCCATCTTCTGCCTTTGCCCTACGGGATTCACTCAAGAGCTCTCTCTCAGTAATCACTTGCCTTTCATATCAGGCTGTACTCCTAGGAAACTGGATTCAACACAATCGTAACTGTAAAACCTCCCATTATGAAATAAAGGCTATTTTTAGATATATGATCGCCTCTCTTTATGAGTGGCTACTCTTCTTGAACCTTAAATCTGTCCAAAACTCTTCTCATAATGGGCTGTCTACAGAATATGGAAACGAGAAAGCAAAATGAGGGCAGTGAAGTAACAAATTCCGTTGATCTATACATAGTTATGAGATATGCGTAATACGAACAGCTAATTACTATCTCCATGGAATTTCAAAATGAACATTTTAAAACTATTTTGGAGTTAGCAGAAACCTGTAAAAGTAAACTTTAGTTATGAGTGGTTTCCAGAAGCACTTGTTTATCGCGAAAGAAATTACAGATAGCATATCCACATCAATTCTGTTTTACATTTTATGTACCCTCTAAAGAACAACTAATATTTCTATTTGAAGAATAAAAACGTAATCTTACTATTCCATTTCTATGAACACCAGTTATGACCATAAGGTCATAACTGTATCATCAACTTTGATTGTTTTCAATTCTGTTACCTCTCTAAATGTTCATACAATTCAACTGATATCAAGCCGCTCTGTATGGTTTTCACAATGACATTATCAAGCCCAAACCAACCACTGTCTTGGCTTCTGAATCCCAATAATTTCAAGTATTCAGAGGTATTTTTTCCAGATTTTCTTATGGAGGCACCTTTTGTCCTATAAAATGGTAACAAAAGTGATATTGGTACAATTTACATATAATTTACATGGTATGAATCTTATTTAATGCATTCATTCTTTCATTGTGAATAATATAATAGCATTTATGTGTCAGTAATTATGCTTTGCAGCAGGAATACAGAGATCAAACCATATAACCCTTGTCCTACAGAAGCACATAGTAACACAGTATTATCTGATTACAGCACAAGGAAATCTGTGTGATAATTAAAGTAATGTATAGGGTGGTTTAGAAGCAGAAGGAAGAGGCTCCGGAAGCTTGCCAACTGAAAATGCTAATATTTGAGATGAGCTTTGGAGAATGACAAGCTTTTTGCAATCAGCAAAATAGGTTTAAGAGAGTATCCGAAAACATTAATAAACTCACTAATGTAAACCCGGATGCTCAAGGATAGCAAAGAGTGGTTGTATAGCAAAAAAGGTAAGAGCATAAATCCAGGAACAAACCTGCTCAGTTTCAAGCCCTGGTTGGCTCTGCCTCTTATGAACTGTATGATCATGGGCAAATTATTTGATTTCTCTGTATCTGTTTTCTTACCTATCATATGAAAATAATAATAGTACTGATATGGTTTGGCTGTATTAGCATCCAAATCTCATTTTGAGTTGTAGCGTCCATAATTCCCATGTAGGAGGGACCTGGTAGGAGATAATTGAATCAAGGAGGCAGTTTCCCCTCTTACTGTTCTCATGGTACTGAATATGTCTCATGAGATCTGATGGTTTTATAAGGGGTCTCTCATTTCTCTTGGCTCTCATTTTCTCTTGCCTGTTCCATGTAAGACGTGCCTTTCACCTTCCACCATGATTTTGAGGCCTCCCCAGCCAAGTGGAACGGTGAGTCCATTAAACCTCTTTTTCTTTACAAAGTATCCAGTCTTGGGTATGCCTTTATCAGTAGCGTGAAAATGGACTAATACAAGTACCAACAACATAGGATTAAATGAGTTAATATTTGTAAAGCACTTGTAGTGAGCACAAGTAGTATTCATATTCTAACCCTACTTCCAACTGCAAGCAAAGCCGATTTGCTTACTTGAACAAATTTCCTTCTTGTGTAGCCTGCCCTATGCAAATGTCCTGAAAAAATTCGCTGTATGTGCCATGTGATATTTTTTCCCAATCATAGCTCATGTGACTAACAGTATATCAACTTCCAACAGCCAGTTAATTTGATTATCTTTCTTTGGAATTTGACTAAATGGCCCAGGGACTGGAACTTGTCATAATCCCATTTCTGTAGTACCTTGGTCAATGAAAATTAAGAAGAAAGATTATTCAGGAAGGAAAAACAGATGCTAACAGAGAAAAGAGAAAAGTCAAGAGGAGAGAGTCCACATAGTCCTAGAGATGGAGAAAGCAGAGGTTAACTATTGTAGCCTCACAATAAACTCTTTTCTTGAATTTGTTTAAGTGAACATTTGTTCCTTACAACTAAAGGAAGAAAAGTCCCTAATAACTGAACATCTTGGGGGAAAACATACCTAGTCTAATTATGCTGCCTTAAAACTTCTTACTCTGTATTGGTTACTTCAGGGGATCAGCTAGATTAAACTTAGTAGCTTATGGGACAAAACAACATTTAGTTTTAGGCTGTTGGGTTATAACTACAGATACAGTAAATTCTGTAACACTGGGAAGTTAATATTTATTCACACAGGAAGTTACACTCCTACTGAATCCAGAATGTTGATCATTTACTAGAAATGACTTAGATGTATTTTTTTTTCCGATAGCAAACATTCACTTTTTTTCTGTCAGAAACCTAAATTTTCTGTGGAGACTGACAGGTTCCCAAGGGTGGTGGAGCTGTCCCTATCCCCAGGACCAGTGGTCACATAACCTAAGCCAAATAATGCATTTGTTATTCATTAATGCTGTTCACCGGAATATCCAATTTTGCCCTGATATGAATACATGATAGGATTACACTTTCTGGCCCCTGTGGTTGAGTCGGGCCAAGTGACTAGTTCCAGTAAATGAATGTGAATGAAAAAAAAAATGTGTCACTTTGAGGCCAAGCATTTAGTTGCTAATATGGGTCTATCCAAAGGTCTTTCTTCTGGCACTGTGATAGCAACCAAGTAGTGGCTGCTCTATCAGTCCTAGAATAAGAATGACCAAGAAGCAGCCTACCTTTGAGGGTCACGACAGATGCAAAGATTGTTGTTTAAGCTCTTGGGATTTGAGAGTTTTGCTATCATGCCAAAACCTAGGCGAATCTGCACTATATCTGTCTTCTGATTTCAGTGATCCACTCAGTGATGGGTTTGTGACAGATTTGGAGTGAGAATCAGGCCCTGGGCTTTTATGCATATTCATAGGGAAAAAGCTTCCTCTTTCCTACTGAACTTGGAGTTATAAAGATGTAGCTATGTTGCCAGAATGAGGAGCAAGGATGTCAGAGAATGAAATTGGCACAGAGGAAAGCAGATAGATGTGAAGAAGAGAGACTAGGTTCTTCCTGGTTTAAGAAAAAAATATATAGATAGATACATCCTCAGATTTTTAATTTACATATATCAAAAATTATTTTCTGCTTAAACACTTTGGATTTGCTTTTCTGTCACTTATATCAAAAGAGTCCTTAATGTTATAAAGATTAAACTTCAGCTTTAATAGGCATAGTCCACATTCAAGTTAAATAATCTGATGATATACTTGTGTCTGACAGCTGTTAACAGCTCTGCAGCTAAACTATTTCCATAATATATGCTATTAGCAAAGTTTGACAACTAGTATTGTCTGACAGTGAATAGTACTTGATCAGATTCCATAAAAGACAACATGCTGACATAGTGATGGTTCCAAAAATAGTAAACATTTATTTTTTAAATATGTTTATTTTAAAATGATCATATTTTGCTTGGGACTCACCCAGACAGTACTAATCTCTCTGAGGCTACTGATTAAAATGTCATGTTAGTTTATCTGTGGAAAAAAATAATACGACACAGAATTTGACAAGCATTGAAATCATCAAAATTCTCATTTTATAGTATATTTTACTTTCAGGATATTTTCTTTGTGATATTCATCATGCATAGATATTTAAATGTGAGTGTCACTAAAGTTTTGAGGTTAACTTTTTCTGAGAAAACTCTATTTATTAAAGTATTAAGTTTAAATGCTATGCTGTATTTAAAAAGCCTTAAATGTTTTCCCATTTTAAGTTATTTATGTTGATTATAAAATTATTTTAAAGTGGAAAAGTAAATGGAAGAAAAAAGTCCACATAGCCACATTGCCTGAAGTCATACTCTAATACATTGATGAATTTATGGTAGTCTTTATTTCTACATGAATTGTTATTTGATCCATAAAGTGGTGACATATTTGACATATTTTAAAATGTCATATATCTGTTAATATTATGTCATAAATATTGTCATATTTATGTCAATATTTGACATATTTTGTGACAAATTGTGCATCTGAATTTTACCATTTGTAATCAGTGTAATCACTGTTGGATATCAATTCCAATGACCTGAGTGCCTACCATACAACTGAGAGAAATGTTCTCTCCTAATATAACAGTACATTCTGACTGTAGGTCCACCTACCCTTGGAGCTTTCGTCAGTTCAGAGTGTCACAGTTACAGTCATTGTACAGAGAAGAAAACCCTACATAAGCTAAGTAGTCCTCAGTCTTCATGTGTGCTTCCCATTCCCTTTTACTTTGCTGATGTTGCTGCCTCACTGCTGTTGAAAATATAAGCTCCTCCACAATGTGATGCAAGGCCCTCATTTGTTGTATTTACCAGCATGTGCCACTATTCTGGTAATAGTTTTTAAGGTAAGGAATAACAAGAAATCTCTCTCCACTGTTATGCTCTTTGTGATTCAGTTATTCCACCCTGAGCTTCAGCTCCCAATGACACTGTACCATGGTGGACTCACTCACCCTGGCAACAACATGCCCTCACAGTATTTTTTTTCAAAGAAATATTCACAGTGCTAGAACTGTCTTATATTTTATCCAGTTTCTAGACAAAAAAAAAAAAAAAAAAAAAAAAAAAAAAGAGCCTAGGTCATCCTAGGCTGAAATTTGGTCATCCATTCAAATTCCCTTCCCTATTATGCTATCTTCTCTTGCTGACACCAGAATATCCACTTCAACCCAACAGAAATGTTTCAATAATGTTGCACCTCAGGAAAAAAAAAAGTGATGACTTCAATCTGTTTAATCTCAGGAGGCTCTGTTCACTCTGTAGATTTGCCTGTCTATCCCTAGGGAGAATAAGATTCATGTACCAAGGAGTATACAGATAAGTAGATGTATTGGCTAAGACTTTTTGGGGGTACAGGTAACGGAAGCCCAAATCCATTTTACTTACTTATAAGTGAATCAATTATAGTAATCCTTGTTTGTCAATGGGGCAAACAGACAAATGTGAAGGGCCTCAGATAAAAACTCTATCTGGAATTGGAGCAAAATCTTTAATTACTTTTCTTCTCTGTTCTTTTATTTCCTTTCTTTTTCCTAATACTATTAATGACCATCTTTTTCCAGCAGCAGAAATCATGGCTGTTGACAACTCCTGAGTTTTATATCCTAAAATATGAGCTACCCCCAAAATTATCCTTTATATTAGGCATCAGGGAATTATGATCAGCCCTTTTGGGTTAACTGTTTAATTATACATAGGGATATTGATGAATATAGAAACTCTCATTGCATCTGCATGGATAGAAAGGACAATTTGCAGAAATTGTAGTACAATTCCCAACATATAAGCTGTCTAGCAGGCAAACTGATAGATATACCCTCTGGCTGCATTTTCTCAAGCCTAACAGTACACAGTCACATTTTCCCAGTTAAATGCCTAAATGCCATGCAAAGGACATTCAGAAGATTTTTTTGAAAGATAAAAAATCTGCTCCAATACACCCTAATATTTTGTTTATGTAACTGAGAAATAGGCACTATTGGGAATTTTTCAAGGATAGTTTCTTTTTTATTTAAAAACCAA